ACGAGCCTGGGTCTGTCATCCTGAAGGCCGCAGGACTCGGGGAGCACCTTCTGTGGAGGCTCTGCTGTTTGTCCCCCTGTCCCAGGAGGATGAGTCTGGCCCCTTCCTCCAGAGGGGATGGGGATGGATCCACACGGTCCCACGGGGTGAGAGATGAGGTCAGATGATCCAGAACCATCCAGGCCTTCTGTGGGTGATGTCTCCTGCCAGGCAGTGGCAGAAGCTGAGCCAGAGGTGAGAAGATCAGGGAGGATCCCACCAACATCTGTACTCCAGCTGCAAACCAGGAGCTTCTGGCTGCGGGTCCTCATCACTCCTGACCCGAGGGAAGGGGTCCCAGCTCTTGGTGCTCCTCCTGAGCAGCAAATCCCATCCCGTGGAGAGCTCTTGGATCCAACCACATCCTGCAAAGCCCCGAAGACCCTCAGCAGGGAGGAGCGAGGTGGTGGTGGCCTCCTCAGGACCCCGCCGCTCCCGTTGAGGAGGCAAAGGCAGCAAGTTGTGTGGAGCTGGTACGTGACTGGAAGCCCTTCCCTCCTCCCCAGAACACAGATAGCCCAGAACGGGGATGGAAAGTGCCGTGTTTCCGTAGCAACCAACATTTTTCGTGCAAGGTGCTGCACGCACTCCCCGCGCTTTGCCACCCAAGGGTGCTCCTCACCTTCCTGCTCCGCGCCAGGGGGGTCCTGCCCAGCGGGATGCCCAGGCCTGGCTGCCAGAGAGGGTCCCCAGGGCCTGCTGGGCTCCTTCCCTCCTCCTTGCCCACAGAAGGAGCCCAAAGCGTTGGTGGAACATTGGGTGGCTCCTCACTGGGGCAGTTCCCAGGATCTCCAGCGTTTTCCAGCATGTGCCACCAGTGGAGATGGGCACCTCCAGCAGCACCAGCACCAGCACAGCACCCTCAGGTGATGCTGGGCCCGTGGTGGCTCTCCCTGTGTGTGGCAGCTCTGGTTCCTGCCCACTTGAGCCACACATGGGGACACCACGGGGATACCGATGGCTTCCAAACCATCCCGCAGGCCCTGCTGGCTGCAGGACCTCCAGAGCACACAGGGAAGGACAATCCCAGCTCATCCCAATCCAGCCTCACGTGGCCACCAAACACTCCAAGAATCAACACAGAGACCTGGTGCAGCACCAAAGCCAAGTCCTCAACACCACAAGATGCCGTCCCTGTCTGGGCCAGCTGTGCCCTGAGTCACCATCAGAGCCTGGATTTTCCCCAAAATTAAAGCCTTTCCAAGCCACGGAGCTCAACAAACACCCTGGAATGGTCAGAGCAGCAGCTTTTCCAGGCCTGGCTGCAGATCCAAATCAAAAAGCAGGAAATCTGACAACATTGCCAACACTTTCATACCCTGGGAACACCAGGAAAGACCACGGTGCCACTGCCAGCCACCAGCACTGCCAGCAAGGCCTTGGGAAGGGGACACTTGTGGGACACTCAACCGGTCACGCAGAGCTGGACCCGCGCGCACCAAAGGACCCCCAGACCCCGGTCTGGGATCCTCCAGCACAATCCCAACTCCGAAATTCCGGCTCCATCCCAAACCCGGGGAAGGATCCAACCATGACACGCCACCACTCCAAACATGCAAGCGCCTCCAAACTCCTTCTCCCACTCGTTCCTCGTGCCCGTGCGAGCGCCAGCGCTGAAACCCAGCGATTTATTTTTATCCCGAGCGATCCAGGCTGGGAAAAAAATCCCCTGCAGGCGCTGTCCCCGGGGCGATTTGGCAGGCGAAGGGCGCGGGGGCATTACCGGCTGAAGCGGCGCGATCCTCTTTGGATCCTCTTTGGTGGCCCAAAGTTATCCCGGCAGCCGCGGAAGCCGCCGGCAAAATGGTGACGGGGTCAGGGCGGCGGCGGCACGAGCGGGGAAAAACAGGATGGGGGGGTCAAGGGCAAAGCAAGGACACGGCGGAGTTTTGGGGAGAGGGTGGGTGCCACCATGCTGATTGGGTTCCCACATGCTGGTTGGGTGTCCCCCATGCCAGGTGGGCTCCCCCCATCCCGGTCTGGTGGCCCCATCCCAGTTGGGTTCCCCCAGCCTGGTCGGGTTCCCCCATCCCGGTGGGGTTCCCCATCCCAGGTGGGTGCTCCCCATGCCAGTCAGGTGACCCCATCCAAGTGGGATGTCCCCTATCCTGGTTGGGTGCCCCCATCCTGGTGGGGTTCCCCATGCCAGTGGGGTGCTCCCATCCTGGTGGGGTTCCCCCCGTCCCCGTGGGGTTCCCCCATCCCGGTTGGGTTCCCCCATCCAGGTTGGGTTCCCCCCATCCCGCTGGGGTGACCCCATCCCAGTTGGGTGCTCCCCATGCCAGTCAGGTGCCCCCATCCCAGTGGGATGTCCCCCATCCAGGTCGGGTTCTCCCATCCCAGTGGGGTGACCCCATCCCAGTTGGGTGCTCCCCATGCCAGTTGGGTGACCCCATCCCAGTGGGGTTCCCCCATCCTGGTCGGGTTCCCCCATCCTGGTCAGGTTCCCCCATCCCGGTCTGGTGCCCCCATCCCAGTGGGGTTCCACCATTCTGGAGGGGTGCCCCCCATCCCAGTCGGGTTCCCCCATCCTGGTCGGGTTCCCCCATCCCGGTCTGGTGCCCCCATCGCAGTGGGGTTCCACCATTCTGGAGGGGTGCCCCCCATCCCAGTCGGGTTCCCCCATCCCAGTTAGGTGCCCCCATCCTGGCGGGGTTCCCCCATCCCGGTCTGGTGCCCCCCATCCCGGGAAAGACGGGACGCGAGGATGGAGCCGGCGGCCGTCGGGGTCACCCAGCGGGGTCTCGCTGTGCCGTCCTGCGGATAGAACTGAAGCAGAGGGAGGGGGACTGAGAAAAAAAAGTGGGTTACTTTTTTAAAAAAATCATATAAAAAATAATATTTAAGGAAATACAGCACTAGGAAAAAAAATTCTGTACAGACAGGTTTCAAAGTCGCCCGTAAAGAGAAACGCACCCACTTCCCTGCACATTTCAACCCTTTTTACACTCCCCTTACACATTAAAACCTTGGTTTTTTTACTTTCCAAACCAATATAGATCAATTTAAGCAAATAAAGATATTTACTACAGATTTTGATTGTCAGCAAACACAATATATTTACTGCATTAGCATTTGCTCACAGTGCAAATGGTACAACAATACATCAGTTCAATATTTCTGATTTTTTCCCTTAAAAATGCTGTATGCATTAACTATCATATTTGCATTACAACATGACAAATGAGCAAATGAAATGTGTGTGAAAATTATCACCTTTTCACAATATCAAGCATAATTTTTTTTTTAACCTTAGTATAAGGTACTATAAATCCAAGAAATAAAAACATCCACAAAATATATTACATCTGGTATGATTTTTTTTTCTCTAAGTACTCAACTTTATACAAAAGTCTCTCAAAAAATATCATTCCCTTAGGTTTGTGTGGTTAAACCTGATTGTGGTTTGTTTTTTTTTTTTTGTTCCTTTCAGTTCACATAAATTAGACTGCATTCTTCCTCTTCTCTTTATTTTTTGTACGTTTTTAATGTGTTTTTTTGTGTTTTTTTTTTTCACATGCAGACATCAAACCTGGATAGCACGACCTTTTGGCAACAAAGATTTTTTTTTGTTTTTAAGTCATTATTATTTTTGCTTAGTTTAGCTTAAATGTCTGAGCACAGTTTTATTAAAACAAAAGAAGAAAAAAATCAGAGCAGTCATGCAATGACATGCACATACCAGAAGGAGAAAGAAAAAAAAATAATAATAAAATAGAGGACTAATTGATTTTTCTCCTCCATAGTTGGGTGGTTGTTTTAAAGTGACCAAATAAAATAAAATAAAAATATCTCACATTATAAAAAGTATTCAGCAAAATACTGGGGTGCTTTTTTTTTTTTTCCCTGTATTTCTGTAAAGAATTTCCCTTCTGCTGAAAACAAAGAAAAAAAAATAATAAAAAGGAAAAGAAAACAAAAATAAGAAAACAAACCCAAAAGCTGCTGCCGGGACATCGCTCCCCGCCGCCCCCCGGAGTTGGGGGGACCCGCAGAGCCGCCCCCCGCCCCCCCAGCCTGGCTCGGGGGGCTGAGCCCTCTTACCTCCAACACGGGGAGCCGGTGCTTGGGGACACGGGGGGGACACGGGGCCGGGGGGGCAACGGGGGCTCCAGGCCCAGCGAGGAGAGGAGCCAGATCAGCTCCATCCATCCATCCATCCATCCATCCATCCATCCATCCATCCATCCATCCATCCATCCATCCATCATCCATCCATCCATGCATCCCCTCACGGATCCTGGAGCGCCCGGCCCTGGGGGAGCCGGGCAGGACGGGACCGGGGGGGCCGATCCTGGAGCCGCCAGCCCCGGCAGGGCGGGGGGGTCGGACCGAGCCCCGGGATCCAGGTCAGCCGGGATCATTCCCGGGTCGGCCGCCCGGGCAGCCCGGAGCCGGGCCGGCGGGTGCGGGCGGGATGGAGCCGGGAGGTGCCGGGTGAGGGCCGTGGGGTGCGGGAGAGGCGGGATGGGGCAATCCAGCCGGGATCCGGGCGGTGCGAGTAATCCAGGTGCGGGAGCAGGGAGCCGGGAGAGCCGGGCAAGGAGGGTGCGGGCGGCCCGGCCCGGGCGGTGCGGGTGCGGGCAGCCGGGATCCGGGAGGTGCGGGAGCAGGCGGCCGGGATCCAGGCAGTGCGGGGGCCCGGCCCCGGGCGGTGCAGGTGGAAGCAGCCGGGATGTGGAAGGTGCAGGAGCAGGCAGCCGGGATCCAGGTGCTGCGAGCAATCCCAGCGCGGGCAGCGCGAGTCCGGGCAATCCGGGTGCGGGCAGTGCGGGTCCCATCGATCCAAGTGCAGGCAGGATCCAGGTGCGGGCAGCCTGGACCCGGTCAATCCGGGTGCGGGCAGAGCGGACCCGTCGCAGCACAACCCCGGTATCCTGAACACCGTGGGGTTCCCCCCGGAGCGGTGCCGAGGGCAAGGGGAGGAGAAGGGGTGCCACCGCGCCGCCCCCCACAATCCCTCAAGCGCACGTGGTGACGGCGGGGGCGAGGGCGACGGGGGGCGAGGTGGTGGCGGTGGCGGCGGGGGGCGCGGCGGGGGGCTGCACACCCGAGCCCTTCTCGGCCTTCTTCTCCTTCTGCTTGAGGTGGATCTTGGCGTGCCGCTTGCGCTCGTCGGAGCGGGCGAACTTGCGGCCGCAGAACTCACAGGCGAAGGGCTTCTCGCCGGTGTGGGTGCGGATGTGGGTGGTGAGGTGGTCGCTGCGGCTGAAGCTCCGCATGCAGATGCGGCACTGGAAGGGCTTGTGGCCCGTGTGGATGCGGAGGTGACGGGTGAGCTCGTCGGAGCGGGAGAAGCGGCGGTCGCAGCCCTCGGCCGGGCAGGCGTGGGGCCGCTCGTGCAGCGGCGTCTTGCTGGGCCGGTTGGGATACTTGCGGGGTCGGATGGGCTTGAGCGTGAGGGGCGGCTGCGGCAGCCCCCCGAAACCCGGGTGGATCTGCTTGTCCTTGAAGGCCTTGATGGTCTCCAGCGGGGTTATGGGGGGCGGGTTGACGCGGATGGGGTCCAAGCTCTGGAAGGGTTTGTGCTCCGTGATGGTGCCCATGTCGTTGGGGTGGTGGTAGAGGTTATAGTCTGGGATCATGGGGAAGAGGTTGCTGTCCAAGGCGGGCTTGGCCGCCTGGTAATCCTGGGGGGAGTAGGTGAGGCCAGGGTTGCTCTGGGGGTCGTGGAACGAGACGGGCTCTGGGTAGAGGTCACTGCAGGAGGAGTAGGGCGGCAGCGCGGGGTACATCTGGTCCACCTCGCCCTGCGGCGGCCCCATGCTGCCCGCCGAGCTCTGCGTGCTGGTGAGCGCGCCCGAGGACGGCGGCACCCCCAGGATGCCGGCGCTCATCAGGCTGATGATGTTGTCCTGGCACCAGTTGGAGGGCGAGTCAAAAGCGAATTTCCCCAGGTAGGTGACAGTCTTGTTGCCCGGGGCGGGTTGAAAAGTGCCCGAGTAGGAGGACAATTCCTGACCGGCCTTTTCGTTCGCTAAGCCAATGTCCATAACATTATCTGCAAAGTGCGAGAGAAGCGGGGCAGGGTAAGCCGGGAGGGCCCGGGGATGCACCGGGGGATGCTCCGGGGGATGCTCCGGGGAGCGGGGATGCGCCAGTTCCCCCACGCCTCGCTCCCCGCCTTCCCCTCGCGGCTTCCACCCCGCATATGCGGCGCTGCCTGCCGGGGGTCCCGACGATGCGGGGCCGCCCGCGCCGCCCCCGCGAGGAGCTGCCCGGGGTGGGTGGGTGGGTGGGTGGGGGGGACACCCCACCGCCGCGCCGCCGGAGGAAGGAGGTACCTGCGGCTACAGGTAGGCTTCCTCCCCGTCCAGCCCCGGCAGCGCTGGGCACTCCGCGGAGCCGGGGCTGCGGCCGCCGACGCCGTTACCAACTCGCCGCCTTCCCTGCGCCGAGCCCCGGCGAGGAGAAACACGGGGATGGGGATGGGGATGGGGAGGGGGGGTTTAGCCCGGCGGGGCTCCGCGTGGGAGCGGGGACACGCGGGGAGCACCCGCCCCCGCCGCCCTCGGCGCTCACCTGTCCCCCCCCCCCCCAGATCCTCCCTCTCTCCTGTCCCCCCCCTCCCTCCCCGTTTCCCCCAGCCCCGCGCTCCGGGAAAGTCGGCGCCGCGTCCCGGGGAGCCCACGCTGCCGCCGCTGCCGCTGCGGGGTGTGGGGGGGCGGCTGCCACGGCCACGCGCGTCCGCGGCGCCTCCGCACCCGCGCGGATCCCGGCGCGGGCGGGCGGCCCCTGCGCGACACGGGGGTGCCCGGCCTTCCCCTCGTCCCCTCGGCCCTCCGGCTTTTCCACCCGGGCTCTCCTCCCCACGGAGCCCGGCCGCCGTCCCCGTACCTGCGGCGGCGGCTCGGCGGCGGCAGCGCTCGGCGGAGCCCTGCAGCGATCGCGCGGAGACACGGCGAGGAAAGGGGTGGGTGGGTGCGGGGGGGGGACGCTCCCCAGCCCCAGCTCTTCCCTTCCCTCCGAGGCTCCATGACACCCTACCCACAGCATCCTCCTCCTCGCCCCACCGGCTCCCCCCCTGCTCCTGCCTTTTCCCCATTTTCCTTCCCTCCCGCTTTACCTGCAGCCATCTGGTTGTAGTGAGCCACCGAGTCGCTGGTGCTGGAGAAGATATTCAAAGAGTTGGGGATCTCCTCTGGGTACAGATTGTCAGGCAATTGGTTCATCAAAGTGTTCATGGTCCCCGGCAGCTTCTCCAGTAGTTTGCCTGTCATAGCACTGGAGGAAAAGGCTGGTTCAACGTGGCTCCGAGCTCGGCTCCCGAGGAAACAACATCCGAGTGGCAAATCCGTGCGAGGGAAATCATGCAAGAAGAAAAGTTGGGGCGGGGGCGGCGGGGGGGAGGAGGAGGAGGCGGGGGGGGGGCTGGGGGTGGCCGCGGAGGAGGGGGCGCGGGGGGGGCGCGGTCCTCCGTGGGTCCCTTGGTGGTGTTTCCTCGAGGGGGAGGGGGCGATCTGGCTGGCAGATGTGGTTGTAGAAGCTGGGGGGGTGGTGGTGGGGGGGGGGGGAGGATTTAACCCCTCCTCTCTCTCTCTCTCTCTCTCTCTCTCTCGCCGGCTCCCGGCCCCGGCCCCGCTTCCCCCGCGCTCGGCCCCGCTCCGCTCGCCGGTTCCTTCTCTGCCGCCCGACTGCTCCGCCGGGGACTCCGCGGGGCCTTTATGCGGGAGCGCTCCGTGACGTAGCTGCCCATATATGGACAGACAAAGCCGAGCCGAGGCCGAGACGTCACAATGGAAGCTCCGCACAATGGAACGTTGGGGAGAGCAGGAAGCGGGGCCGGCGAGCGCGGGGACGGGGGACAGGGGACCGGCCCGGGGGAACCGGGCACCCTGCACCGGGCAAGGGGAACCGGGCACCGGATACCGGGCTGGGGGGACCGGCAACCGGGCTTCCTGCATCTGGCAAAGGGGACGGGGCACTGGACGCCGGGCAAAGGGGATCGGGCACCAGGCGTGCTGCATCGGGGAGGGGGTACCCGGGACCGGGCACCCTGCACCGGGCAGTGGGGACCGGGACCTGGGCATCCCGCACCGGATGAGGGGTACCGGGCTTCCTGCACACGCACCGGGCATCGTGCACGGGGTACCAGGCTGCCCGCACCGGGCAGAGGGCAGCAGGAACCCTGTGCAGGGCACCGGGCACCGGGCATCCTGCACTTGTCACCGAGTCCAGGGGAGCGGCCGTGCATCAGGCATCCTGCACCGGGCACTCTGCACCGGGCCCTGGGCACAGGGCACCCTGCACGGGGTACCGGGCACGGGGCACCGGGCCGGGGTCTCCCCCTCTGCGCTGCATCCCCCGCGCCCGCCGAGCGGTGCCGTCCCCTGCGCAGGGCGGGCGGCGGCTCCAGCCCTTCCAGCCCGGATCATCCCCGGGGAGCAGCGGGGGCGCGGGGACAGCGCCCGCCCCCGCCCAGCCTGACCCTGCGGCCGCCCCCGGGGCTGCTCACAGCCAGGCTCGTACCGGGAGGGTTTTTTCCTCCACTGGAGGCCAGGACCGGCCAGAAACCCCATCCCGCAGCCCGGGCTGGCACAGGAACGGGATGGGAGCTGTGCAGGGAAAGCCACAGCGCCAGGCAGTGGAGTTTGGTGGGAAGGAGAGGGTCAGAGTAGGGGGGCTGCAGAAGCCTCCAGCCCCTCGGTGTGGTGGCCAGTGGTGACAGAGGGGATGGCTCAGCCCCGAGCCGCCCCCTCCCCATGTCCCGACTCCCGTGGAGAACAGAGCTTGGAATACTTTAAAAACAGGTAACACTTGTTGGTCGCCTGTGATTTTAACCTCACCTCCCCCCTTTAAAAGTTTGGCACTTCCAAGGCGTCAGTAATTAGGTGGTTTCGTGCTAAGTGTGCCAACTGATGCTATCTTTAAAACCCTCCGAGTTATATAGCAAATGTATGGAAAAATGCTGTGTTGCAATAGCTCCACTTACCCAATTCCTGCAGGGCCGGCTTTGCCATGGGAGTGAAATCCGGGCTACGGGAGGGCTGCGGCGGGAGGGGACCGGGCAGTGGCCGCGGGGACGCGGGGCACGGGCACACCGGGGGCTCAGGAGGTGCCCCGGGGCCCGGGCATTGTCGCAGCCGCTCGGGGCAGGGGCAGCGTTCTCGGGGGTGGGGGGCAGCGAGCCCCGACTTGGGCTCTTTGTCACCGCGGGGGGAGGAGGGGCCCGTGTGTTCACCAACTTCAGGGTCACCATTCACTTCAGAGCGCCCCACATTCACTTCAAGGCCCCTCACATCCACTTCAGGGCCCCCGTGCACTCCAGGGCCGCTCGTTCACTGCGGCCCCCCGGGCGCTGCAACCCCAACCCTGCAGTGGAGCCCCTCCATTGACCGACCCCCCCTTCCACTAGAAATTCCCCCTACCCTGTGCAGAGACCCCCATCCTGTGCGGAGCCCCCACCCTTTGTAGAGCCCCCACATCTTGCACAGGACCCCCGTGCTGTGCAGAGCCCCCCATGCTGTGCAGAGCCCCCCACCCTGTGCAGAGCCCCCCACTCTTCTCAGACCCCCCCATCCTGCACAAAGCCCCCCTCCCTCGCACCCTGTTCACCCCCATCCTTGGCAGGACACTCTCCTTGTTTTTACCCCTCTCTCTCGGTCTCTCACCCCACCTGGCCCCCTCCCGCCGCCCCCCCAGCCGCAGCCCCCCCTGCCCAGCGCATCCCCCGCCCGTGGCCCGGCGCGGCCCGGGGGGAGCGCGGCGGCGGCGGCGGCGGCGGCGGCGGCGGCGGGAGGGGGAACGGGGGGGGAGCGCGGGGCGGCGGCGGGCGGGCGGCCGAGGGGAAGCGCCATACAAGGCCTGGATCCGGCCCCGCCTCCGCTCCCTTCTTTGGCCGCCGGTTCCGGCGCCCCCGGCGCTGCCGAGGTGCGGGGCGGGCGCGGGGCGCGGAGGGGGATCCACAGCCCGCCCCCCCCCGGGCAGCACCGCCCCGAGGCGCGGGGGTGAGGAGGGGGTCCCGCTGACACCCCCGTGCCCTGGGGGTCCTCCCCCGTCACCGCATTCCCACGGTGGGAGCGCGCCCGCAGCCGCAGCGCCGGGGATGCTGCGGGGCCCCCGCTGCGTGTCCGGCTCCGGAGGCCAGAGCAGGGACCCCCCCAAATGAAACCACCCCTCCCCAACCCTGCGGTTGGTGCTGCGGGGCCCCCGCTGCGTGTCCGGCTCCCACGGCCCCGCGGGTCAGAGCAGGGACCCCCCCTCAGAATTAAACCACCCCTCCTCAACCCTTAATTGTGTCCGGAACCAACAACACCACCCGGTTCCTCCCGATTTGTAGCGGAGGCTGCGGGTTTGTTCAGCCTTATCGGCACCCACGGGCGAGGGTCCCGCGGGGAATTCCTGCTCCAGAGCAAGCAGCTCCTCGCCCTGCTCTGGAAAACTCCGCATCCCCACGGGTGCCAGCCCCACGCTCGGCTCACCCCGGCCCGGGTGGGTGTCTGTGCCCCGAGGGTGACAGTGACACGGCAGTGGCACCTGCTCCCGCTGGGAATGCGGCTGGCTCCTGCCCGCTCGGGGCTGCTGGGGCTCTGGGTGCACCCCAAAGCCTCGCGGTAGGGTTTAGGCTGGGCTTAAAGCTCCTGAGTCATGAGGACCTGCCGCTAAAGCCGGCTGGGGAGAGCGGGACAGCTCCGGCACTGACAGCGGTTTGATTGGGAACGGCCTTGAGCCAAAATAAACCGAGGCAGACTCAGACTGGCACGGAAACGGCCGCATGGGGGTTGGACTGGCTTAGTTACAGCTCAGTTTAATGGGTCAGAGCATCCCGAGCACAGCTCTTCACCCAAGGGAGGGGGGAACAGAGAGAGACTCACCTGGGATGGCTCCGAATGGTTTTAAATTCCAGCCCAGGCTGGATGGAGTCTGCAGCCGAGAGGTTTCACTCTTTTTTCGTCATCCCACACACCTGCCCCGTGTGAACCCCGTCCTGATCCAGGTGTTTTGGTAACCTGGATCATCACTGCTGGCATTCCCTGCCCATGGATCTGCCCCGTGCCCCGCTCAGGTGAGACCCCACCTGCGGTGCTGGCTCCAGGTCCGGGCAGCAGAGGAGAACATGGAGCTGCTCCAGGGCTGGAGCCCCTCTGCTCTGGAGCCAGGCTGGCAGAGCTGGGGGTGCTCATCTGGAGCAGGGAAAGCTCCAGGGAGAGCTCAGAGCCCCTGCCAGGGCCTGAAGGGGCTCCAGGAGAGCTGGAGAGGGACTGGGGACAAGGGATGGAGGGACAGGACCCAGGGAATGGCTCCCAGTGCCAGGGGGCAGGGATGGATGGGATACTGGGAATTGGGAATTCCTGGCTGTGAGAGTGGGGAGGGGCTGGGATGGAATTCCCAGAGAAGCTGTGGCTGCCCTGGCAGTGCCCAAGGCCAGGATGGACAGGGCTTGGAGCAGCCGGGGACAGTGGGAGGTGCCCCTGCCCATGGCAGGGGTTGGCACTGGGCGAGCTTTAAGGTCCCTCCCCAGCCCAAGCATTCCAGAATTCCATGAATTGCTGCCGTCCCTCCTCAATCCCAAGTGTGCCGCACCAGCGTTGCCCCATCCCCCCTCACCTCCCAGCATCCCGTGCAGGGCTTGTGACAAGCGGTGACATTATTTAACCATGTCCCACCCTGCCCCGTTCCCGTGACACCCACCCCGGTGCTGGCGAGGAACCGAGAGCCCCCAGCTCCCACCCCGACCCTCCCTCGGGGCCGTGCGATGCTGAGAGCGGCCACACCCCATCCCCAAAACCCCGCTGGGCCCCCCGGGACCGGGACCCTGTCCCCCTGTCCCCTGGGTGCTGTCACCTGACGGGAGACTTCTCCCCGCTCCTCTCGGTCTTGTGACCCACCGGGCCCTGATTCATGTGCGGGAACCCTGCAGGTGCTGCGGGCCGCACATCCTGGGGGACCCCCGGGCTTCGAAAAGGGGAACTCGTCAGGGTTTTTCACCTAATTAACGGCAGCTTAATTGTACCTACAGACAAGGGAAGGCGAGCCCCGTTTTCGTGCCTTGTGGCCAGGCTGATGGGCTGCTCGCTCCCGAAAATTCACTTGAGCTGAGCCCTGAAGGCTGGGGCACATCACGAGCTGCTCCTGTTCGGGGTCTCAGGAGCTCTGGAAAGCTCCACACGGGGCACGGTTCTGTGTTTCAGGCTTTTAAGTCCGCCGAGGGAGAGAGGGATCATCTGTAATGATGGCGATGATCACCAGCATTGTCACCTCATCCTGGATTACAAAGGATGCTCAGGCTCGGAGCCTGAGGCACAAACCAGAGCGAGGAGCTTTTCCTCCTTGGATTCGCTGCAGATGCAGATCTGGGGCTGGTAAGGTCACGGAGTCGTAAACAGAGT